AGAGATGGTACAACATTCCTACCTCAAGAGTAGACGCATGAGGTAAATTGAGGGGGTAACTGGGTCCCCTGCTATTCCTCCTTAACAATTCATACCCATAATTAATTATAAGCTTTCGTAGCATGCTGGATCCCTGCTTTGCTTTAGTATGCGCCTGACCCAATATGTAAGCAACTCCTGCTTCCCTTGCTTCCATCAACTCCTGCAGTTCCTCCATTGCTGTTGCCTCAACTTTTGGACTCTCCGGCACAATAAACCTCACCCTTTTCCTGGGTGCCCGGACGATACGATTCCGACGTCGTGGTGACATTATTTCCCTATGCTCAGACGTCTCCCCCAACTCTTCATCATCATCCTCTTGCAGTTGAATTCCGTCTCTATGCGTACAGCACATTCCAACTACTGTCATTCTCTCATTTTCCTTCCAAATATCATCCTCTGCATTAGCATTGCAACCACTGGATTCCACCTTCTGTGATCTTATAAACTCAGCTATACTACATACAAGATCTTTTTCAAACTCGGTGTCATCCTTGTGCACATCTCTGTATCCATATCGCACAACGCACCTGTACAACCTGTACTCACGAGCTCCAATTCGACCAACTAGGAACCGCTCTTCAGGTTTAACATGTGGGACTGGAACAGACTTGATGCAAAGAAAAACCACCACCTGGTGGAACGCAGGAAGGTTGGTCACGAAGTGTGAAAACATTGCTGGAAGCCCTGAGACAAGTTCAGTGTGCACAATGCCAATCCCGCGGACTCGGACAATACCTAGACTGGATCCCACACTAAGCAACCAATTCATTGAGACCTTATTTTGAAAATCAAATTCATACTTCTTCAGCGTTCCATAGTGCCACACATACATAATAATCATGAAGACCACGGCAAGCACAATGGGAACCCATGCTCCTTCTAGAAACTTAATGAGAGAAGCTGAAAAATACATGGCTTCAATTGACCCAAAGAAGACCACAAAGCAAATTGCTAGGACAACACTCTGGTGCCAGCAAATCACAATGACCAACGACATTAAACAGGTCGTCACCAACATCACCGTGATTACTGCCAAGCCTGTTTAACCGAAACAAATAAATATATAAAACCAGCACGCTCATTTAGCCTTAAAATCATGGAACCAAGTGTATCTCCAAGAAGAGACAACACCCAGCAATCATTAATTGTGGTTTCATACCTGATGCATTACCCAAACGTTTTGTATCTCTGAAACCAATTGTAACGGCTAAGCATAAAAGCATCAGGATCCAATTAATCTCAGGGATATAAATTTGACCATGAATTTTAGATGATGTATGAACTATTTTGACTCTGGGGAAGCAATTCAAAGCAGAGCATTGCTTAATAATCGAGAAAGTTCCAGTGATGATGGCCTGGCTTCCTACTACAGCAGCAAGGATGGCAATTACTAGAACAGGCCAACGTAACTTCTCTGGACAATAAATAAGAAGCACCTAAGATCAGATCAGATCAGCTGGAAGCAACCATATTACATAAATATCATGTAAAGTAACTAAAAGTACCTGGAACAGATATATAGAATCCAATTCGATAATCATTTGGTATCGAATGATGTTGAGATAGATACGCAGCCTGCCCCATATAAGCTAAAACCAAAGATGGATACACCATAAAGCTAAATGCAATCTGTCACAAATTATTTGACAAAGGAAGCTTCTTCAGATCAGAGATTTACACGAACAGATTACATACAGATTGAAGATGAACTTGCGCGGATATTGTCATTACGAGAATATTTCTTTTTTTTCAAACAAGACCAATATAGATCTCAATCAGGATTCATTTTAAAACCAAACGCCAATACGTATGATTCTTCAAAATCTGAAACCAAACCAGAGATACCCAGTTACCTGGATGGATGATTGTGAAAAGTGTCCAAGATCAGCAAACATGGCTTCTGAACCTGGAAGAGTCAAACAACATTTCATAAACTAACGGAACATTCTGCCTCTGAAAGGATGAATTTCAAAAATTGTATCACCATTGGTTACCAGTTATACAAAGTAGAATCCCTCCTAGTGACATCCAACCTCCTCTCCTTGTTTTCTTCAAGAATAGGAACATATGATAAGGAGAAAGTGCTTGATAAACATGAGGATTCCAGTGAATGATGTTGTATAAACCAATTGCGCTAATGCACAGAAGCCATGTTGTAACTATAGGAGCAAACAAGAACCCAACCCTGTGCGTTCCATAATGTTGAAGGGCGAACAAGCCTATGAGTATGATGCACGCAGCTGGAACTTCAACATCTGCGATAATATCAACGTTTGAAAAGGAACTCTTGCCTGGATCAAGCATGTTCTAATGAACTTCGAATAACATTTTATAGATGCACGGCTGCAGTAGGTGTTGAAGGGTCACTACATACATGTATCTACTAGTGACCCTTCAACAGTAGGTACTTCAGGCATTAACAAAATTTTCCAAAAGAAGGAAACCTTCAGGATATATTGGAATTCAAAATCAAATACACTGTAAAATCTACAAGCTTTTACTTTGTCAGAGATGAATCCAACAGAGCGAAATTCGTCACCATCTTTCTGTTAAATCGCCAATAAACTCAAAGTTTTAAAGCTGTTGTGTTTTAACAAATTTAATTATATCAAGATTTTAACATTCCCCCTCTCTTGTGAGCTTAGAAATGTATAAAAGGCCAGCAAGTGAAAATCAATATTAGCGAGGGTTCAAAGCTCTAATATCATGTTAAACACCAATCAAACCAAAAGCTTGAGCAGATGGATTATGGTAAAATTAATTACATTAATACTATAACACATTCAACCACTGGTTCAATGGCAAACAAAGTGATGATGATAGAAAAATGGAGCAAGGTTTTAAATCTTACATTTATGATGCTGTTTTGACATCGTGAACTCCAGTCCAGAGACAGCAGAAAAAACTATGACAGTCCAAAACAAGACCAATTAGTTACAAACAAATACCCTATGTCGTTTGTTTGTTTGTTTCTTAAACTCACAACCAAGAAAGGGAATGCCATAAATACCAGAAATAGCAGGCGTTAAGATGCCGTCGCCAATTACCATACACGTCCCGATCAAAGCCAGAATGAGCAGAAGTGTCTGCAATACCTTATGCGATTCTAACGTGGATTTCAGCTTAGATGCAAAGCTTTTTTTGGGTGGCAAAATTATGGTTTCTTTCTTGTACTCAGCCAGCTCCTCGTCTGCCGCTTGAACATTGGGCAACCAGCCGACTCGGGCGTGTCGACACAACAATGAGTAGAGAGCAAAAGTCCCTCCCTCGCCATTATCGTCTGCTTTGAGCACAATAAATACATATTTGAGCAAAGGGACAATGGTAAGGGTCCAGAAAATGAATGACAAAACGCCGTAAATCTCTTCGTTGGTCTTCGAGTGTTCAATGTCTTCTTCAGCAAAAGTGTTCCTATACACGTATAGAGGTGAGGTGCTTAAATCACCATAGACGACCCCAAGACTCTGAAAAGCTAGAGTCAGAACTGTCTTCCATGAATCCTTCTGCAATTAAAGGGAGGGTAAATTAGAAACTAAGATGGATTCTCATTCAGAAACTGTGGAGATTAGGAATTAATGCAGAGTTGAGAGATTTTTAGCTCACCTTAGCATACTTGGGATAAACCCCAGTTTCCAGATCCATAAGCAGAGGGCTCAAAATTTGAACAAGACCATGGTTGGAGAGAATACCGAATTGTTGAGATAAGAAGTTAGGCGAATGCAGCAAGGAACGTGAATATCAATCAATATGGAGAGAGAATTATTTAAAAAGAAGGGGAAAATGTTTGGAAAAGAGATGAGATAATAAACGTGGTTTTAATTGAAAATAGAAAAGCAGGTGAACCACCACGAATTCAGACAAGGCAGAAAAGGCAAACACGAAAAGACACAGCGGGAGGATGGTTTAGAGGTTTTAGAGCGAGGGTAATCAAGTTTTGAGGTCCCTAAGAAGTTGGCCCGACTGCTATGAATTCTGGAAACCTTCTAATGGGAATTGGAGCGAGCGAATTGAGTGGATGGAAGCTGACGTAACTTCCAAATTCTTGTGAGATCAACTAAACTCATATCTAATAAATAATCTTTATTATACGATTGATTGAGTAATTATGTTTTTGACAGTAGGAGAGAACATAATTACTCATTTCAAGCTTCAATCTTTACAATAGGAATTAGTGTATTAATTAAAGAATCACATTTTTTCTATTCTTTTTTTAGTTCAAAAAAAGGGAACACATATGTATAGATGGATTCATAATATTAGTAGTCATATCCGTAGTTTGAATTTTGAACAAAGTTGACTAAGCTTTTCCCTCATCTTCTTTCTTCTTCCTCCTCTCTCCATCAAACCTCTCTCTCACACACATTTCTCACCAACAATTCTCATCGAGGAACTCGACAAAACCCCAATAATGTTGATTTAATTTTGTTGTTATGCTAAGCAATGTTGAGAGGAAGAAGCTTTTGATTAACTAAATTTTTGTAATCTATTGATTGTCTGTACGTACAGATAAATTTATGTTCTCTCAAACACATAGAATTATTGTACTAAACTAACTTCCCCAGGAGGTAATTCACTTTCCTCTAAATTTATATCTTATGAGTTCAATAGACAAGCATATTATTAATGTTGATTTGGTGAACTAATTTTTTGACGTGGATCTCATATGGGTTTTATTTTTTATTCTTGTTTTTAAAGTGAGGTGGTTGGTTTTTGTATTGTGTTGCGGACATTGATTCCTTAAAATAAAATTCCGTCTTCGTTAATCCTGATCATCAATGACAAGTGTCATATATGGTATGGCTTGTGACATGGAAACCCACCATTATAATATATCAAAGCTTATCCACTTCATATAACATAATATATATATTCTCATGCAATGGCGTGCCCTTTCCTTATTTTTATATTAAAGTTTGTGCTGTTGAAATGCATAAACAAATATTAGAACCAGACAACACTGAAGTCGAAGCCATATTTTATTCCTGTGTTATGTATTTGTGTAATAATATATACAAAGATTTGGCGTGCTGGGTGACGATGACCTTCGTTTTTTAGGCCACAGTTATTTTTTCACGTATTATCTTAATAATTCTTGATATTGGTAAAGTTTATACAAAAGGTGCAAATCAAAACTGGAGGCCCTTGAGATAGATTTCTCTTAAGCTTGTCTAGGGTGTCGTCTGGTTCTGGCGGAGAAATTAATAAAACGCCTAATTCTAGTGGTGGTAAAATGTGTTGGTAGACAAGACATTTGGTTGAAAATGAAGACCCAAACCAATCCTCATTTTGCTATTGAATCAACAACACCTTCTTGCCAAAAGTTGTGGAAACGTTGCAGCCAGATATGATGATCACATCTTATCTCTATAAGCAGAAAAGAGTAGTTAATAATCATCTGGAAATGCTTGCCCAGGATATATGTTGGAACTGTAGTCCATGCATAATTTACCGAGCCTTTGAATACTTGGCGACAGTTTGCCACTATGTCTCCAATAACGTGCATCTGAAGCCATGTACTCTGCCTGAGTGCACACACAACGCCTCCTGGTCCTAGAGCTCTGGCTACCGATTCAAAGATGGATGGCTTCTCAAAAAGCTGTTGTGCAGGACCTGAAGATGCACTCAAAAATTACAACTTGAAAAGATACCCTCAGGCAGATGGTTTACCTATGGGATCAGAAGAATCCACTAGAATAGCATCATAAGTCCCTTCGGGACAGCCTTCAAAAATGCAACTCCTGTAAACGTTTAAAAGCAAGAAGAATCCAAGCAGAAGTCCATGGCTAGGGAGAAAAAACTAAGCATAGCTGACTACCATCGCCAATATGAAGTGTGACACGTGGATATACAGCTAAGGGGGAAAAACAGCATTTTCTTTAAGGAGGAACACCATGGACAAGTTCACACCATATTTGTCCTGTTTATTTTGCAGGAAAGATTATAATGAAGACCCACATTTGTTTTAACTAAGATACTTGTTAGACCTTCCATCTCAAAGATGTATCCCAAAGATGTATGCAACTCCTCTTGAGCTAGATGTCCCATAAAGTTACCCAAAAAATTGACTTCCACAAAACTCCCCCTCTTTGAAGTTTGAATAGAGGATGGAAGAACACATCCATAACCACCGTAAGACAGATCTATTACAGGCCAAGAAAATATCACAGGATTTCTTACTTCTAGGCTCCACATTTGAATTTGAAGCCACAGCCAGCAATAGAGAGTGTGCAAGAATGTGATAATCGCATGCAAATTGAGAATGGCAATAGATCTAAATGAATGTTGAACTAAAGAGTGAAATACCAATTTTAACAATGTTCATATGAACTCATGTCACTTCAACGAAAAAACACAAGAAGGGGTCTTCTCAACTATTTTGTTCTCCATTTACTAACTACCCTGAAATTTGATTGTTGGCAATAGATCTAAATGAATGTTGAATTAAATTACATCAGCATCAACTAAGCAAGCTGAGAAATTCACAGAGAGATATAAAAAGCGTGCCCAATTCAATAAATATTCAATACACATCAAAGAAGGGCCAATAAGAACATCAGCCACCGCCCAAGAGAGAGGACAATCCAAACTACTTAGGTGAACTGACAAAAAGAAAATGCAAATTAAGCTGTGGACCTGTCCTCAGCTACGGACAAAACCATTAGCAAATTACAAATTTTGGAATACACCCCATCTATTCAATCCAGGCGGGTTAAGCCTACCCCACCACCCGCAGATATTGTCCTTTTTGGGCTTTCTCTTTCGGACTTTTTCTAAAAGTTTTTAAAACGCTACAGCGAAATGTTTCCATACCATTGTAAGAATGTTTTGTTCCCCTCTCCAATCAGATATCACAATCCACTTCCCTTGGTGCCAGCATCCTCGCTGGTACACCATCCGATGTCTAGCTCTGATACTATTTGTGCCCACCGCTAGTAGATATTGTCTTCTTTGGACTTTCCCTTTCAAGGTTGTTCTCAAAGTTTTTAAAATGCTCATACTAGGGAGAGGTTTCCATACCCTTAAGAATGTTTCGTTCCCCTCTCCCACCAACGTGGAATCTCACACCAACATTTCTAAAGGGACGAATAACATTTCTAAAGGGACAGTATTATTTCAGGCTAAACATATTGACAATTTTGGCTGAACCTATGATACAATTATTAGCAACCAAATCAAACGAAAAAATAGAAAAACATAAATTTTATGAACGCAAGTAATATTATAAACAGATAACCAAGTGATAGAAACAAGCGGAAAATATACATTTGGCCTTAGAATACTGATCTAAGTATACGCTGGTGCATTTAAATAACTAATAAACTGCATCTTCCTATCCCCACGTAAAACACTCCAGAAGAATAATTTGAAGCAAAGCAAAGACACTACGGGTTCGAAAGCAGAGAGAGCAGAAGTGAATGCAAACCCACCAGGCCACATTGGGTTCATTTTCTAATTTGTAACTGTCCCGGTGGTATGAAATTTTGATAGAATTGTAGTAGAATTTTTTATTTTTTTTTATTTTTTATTTTTTTTTACAGTGGTTGGGGGTTAATAAGGAGAGAAGAGTATAATTAAGAGAGATTAAACATGAATCAAAGAAATTAAATATGTGAGTAAAAGTAAGGTGAATTTGAGAATGAGGATGAAGGAGGCTGAGAGGAGTGGAAATGAACATAGAAAGCTCCGAATCGAGCGTAAATGTAACGTAGGGGGTGAAAAGCATCGAAACCAAATACGTCAACTTCAACGGCGGTGGCCATGAAAGTTGACTTCACAACGTATGCGCGGCGCCGGATTTGACCGTTACACGTTTCCAACTGTAGCGTGACGTTTTGAAAGATTTAAGATCCGTTTTCAGATTAAGCTTCTTACCCCTTCTTCTATTTTTAGCTCCCTCCATTCTCACCTCTTTGTAATTGAATTCCCAAAATTTAATATTTGAGCGTATCTTCCTAAATCTGGATTCCATTGGGTTGGTGGGCATTCCATCAGTGGTGTGCTGTCATTTCCATTCTCCTCCAACCGCATGATCACACAGACTGAATGCCTCACGTTTCTTCGACCGATCAAATGGGAGACTTTAAGATTTTTCCTTTTCTTTCCCCTTTTCCTTCCTTTTTTGGGAAAATGCGAAAGCGCTGCCAGTTATATTTTATTTTAATATACACAACCATTCATTTTGAATTGTCGATCTAATACGTAAAGTCGGGAGTCAATACTAAAGCTTATCATATTTAAACACTATATATATATATATATATATTCGGCCAAAAAAAAAAAAAAAACAGTGCAAAAGCAATCATTCAACACCCACTCCCCGAGCTTTCTCATTGGGTAACTATTTCAAAAGGAAAGATTTTTTTTGGTGATTCTTCACGGTCAGGTCATGGCGGGTCGGAGGCTATCCTCGCTCTTATCTCGTTCCCTTGCTTCTTCGCCTGCTCTCCTTTCCAAAGGTAACACAAACACTGAAACAATCGGTCATCATGTTTAATTTTAAGCTTTTTTTGGTAAATCTTTCCAGTTTTTCTAATCCGCAAACAGAGAGATCGATCGATTAAAGGAAAAAAATAAACAAATAAAGCGTATGAAAATTTTCATCTTTGACAAGTCCGTGAAGCGAATCAAGGGATCGGGTAGAGCTGTATCTCCTTCCTTTGTGTGCGGATGTGATGAGTGGGCATGTTATGATAAGAGAAAAGTTGCAGTTTTGAATGTTGTTTTTATGCCCCTCTGTTATTTTGGATCATTCTTCTAATCCTGCTTTTTATAGATCCTTAACTGTTAACTGATTGGAACTCTGTTTGATCAGGGAGGAGGCCTTCGGGAGGCACAACAACTGGCAAATATAGCACTTCGGCTGCTGTTGAAACCCCGATTACTCCATCCGTGAAAGTGAATTACACCCAGCTATTAATCAACGGACAGTTTCTGGATTCAATCTCAGGTACAGTTTCTCAAATCATTGAAATTTGTCCATGTTAAATAAAAGCTCTGCCTTATTTAGTTAGGTTTGTCAAAACATATGAGTTCACGCGAATGGAGGAGCGTGATTCTAGGGGCCATTGTTTTGGCAGAGTGGCGGAGTCTTCGTCCACTTATTCTATTTTTGTATATTTAGTTTTTCTATTTTTGTAATTAGATTTATTATTTAAACCATTCAACGGATGTAAAATAAAGATATCGAGTCTTCAGCATTACCAGCGAATCTCTCTCTCTCTCCTTTTACTTCCGCTAATTTTTCCTTCGAAGAAACCTTCGGCCAATTTTTTCGTCGACATCCGATTTGCCAGAGTCAACAAGTGGTATCAGAGCCTGGTTGAAGCGATCGGTAGTATACCATCACAGAAGAGCCAACCTATCAACAATCAAGTTGAATAGCTCAAGTGGTTAGAGCGTCGACCTAATAACACACAGGTCTTAGGTTCGAGTAGAAGAAAATGCAAAGCGCAAAAATAAATACATCGTGGGGCCCATCTCAAGCAGGCTCGCTCACTCCTCCACGCCGCCAAGTGCCGGCATCTCCATCACCACCACGAAGAGGCCGTGGCCGACATCGTGATGACGGGCGTCGAGTAGTTGTTGAGCGAGTGATCAGAGAGACAACGACCGCCGTCGTTCAGTACCCGATGTTGACAAGGTCCAACTACAACGAGTGGGCCTTGTTGATGCGCGTTAACCTACAGGCGCAAGGGTTATGGCACGCTGTCGAGCCAGAGGAAGGAGAAACAATCGAGTACCGGGAGGATCGGCTGGCGTTCGCCGCCATATTACGATCTGTGCCCCCAGAGATGCTGGCTTCTCTTTCCACCAAGCGCACCGCACAATCGGCCTGGGAGGGAATCAAATCCCGTCGGGTCGGTGTACAGCGAGTGCGGGAATCCAACATCGAGCAACTTCGGAAGGAGCTCTCGGAGATTCGCTTTAAGGACGGCGAATCCGTCGATGATTTTTCAATGCGGATCACGGGGCTCGCCAACAGCATCACCACCCTCGGTGGTGGCATCAGCGAGACAGAAATCGTGAAGAAGATGTTGCAGGTCGTTCCCGATCACCTCGAGCAAGTCGCGATTTCAATCGAGACATTGCTTGACGTGAACGACCTAACAGTGGAAGAGGTGACCGGAAGACTACGTAACGTCGAGCAGCGGAAGAAGAATATCACTTCAGCTGTTGACAAGGAGGGCCGTCTACTCCTCACGGAGGAGGAATGGCTTGCACGCCTAAAGCTCCGCGACAACACCGGCGAGAGCAACGGGTCCTCCTCCAGCCGCAAAGGCGGTAAGAAGCCATGGATGTCCCACGGGCGCACGCGCGGGAAAGATGGGAATCAAAAGAAGGAGTCGACCGGCCGATCCAATGCTCGAACTGTGGGAAGAGAGGACACCTGAGCAGAAATTGCTGGAGCAAGCTGAGGAATAAGGAGAAGGCCGAAAAGGCCCAGGCCCATGTGGCTCAATCCGAGGAGGACGAGCCAGCTCTCTTCATGGTAACCGCATGCGTCCCCAATTTCGATTCCAAATCCGACGACGATGTTGAACCCAAGAAAGAGCTCCAGTTGGGCGTAGCAAAGCTGGCACCAACTGGGATGTTGAACCCAAGAAAGAGCTCCAGTTGGGCGTAGCAAAGCTGGCACCAACTGGGGAGCCAATTCAACTGGAGGAGGAGCGAGTGTTCGCTCAGATCGGCGAAAGGGACGAGCAACACGAGCACCAGCAATGGATCCTTGACACAGGGGCAACAAACCATATGACCGGGGCTAGATCTGCGTTCTCCGAGCTCGACTCGGGGATCCGTGGGACGGTGAAATTCGGCGACGGCTCCGTCGTCGAGATCGAAGGGCGCGGCACCATCCTGTTCGTCAGTAAGGGAGGCGAGCATCGCAAGCTGACCGACGTCTACTTCATCCCGAGGCTCAAGGCTAACCTTGTGAGCCTGGGTCAGCTCGATGAGACAGGCTGCTTCATTTCCATCGAGCGCGGACTACTGAAAATCTGCGATAATCAACGACGGCTGCTCACGCAGGCAAGGCGCACCACAAACCGTCTTTACATCCTGGAGTTAGAGATAGACCAACCCGTTAGCCTCTCGGCCAAGACCGAAGAGGTATCTTGGAGGTGGCACGCAAGGTACGGACACTTAAACTTTCCTGCCCTAGAAAAGCTACAGAAGAAGGAGTTGGTGCACGGCTTGCCAGAAATCAAAGGCGTGAACAAGCTGTGCGACGGGTGCTTCATAGGCAAACAGAGGCGCACACCCTTTCCGTCTCGAACAGCCTACCGAGCCGATGAGCCATTGGAGCTTGTACACGGCGATATTTGCGGGCCCATCAAGCCGGCGACCCCAGGCGGTAAGAGTCTCTTCCTCCTGTTAGTCGATGACAAAAGCCGCTTCATGTGGCTGACTCTGCTGCAAGCGAAAAGTGAGGCGGCAGAGGCGATTAAGCGCATTAAAGCGCGAGCGGAGGCCGAATGTGAGAAGAAGATGCGAGTGCTGCGCACAGACCGAGGCGGAG